AAGTGTTCTGGAACAGCAATTTTGAGCCCATTTTTGAATACCTTCCACTTAGATTCATGGAAAAGTGTTTTGTAAAAACTTTTAGTACTTTCAAAGAGGTTTCCAACGGTACCAAGTTTTCCAATTTTTGACATGTAGAATGTGAGATATGATTTTTCAAAATATCGTATCAAAACCGAAAATTTTCCAAATTCCAAAAGAAGAGAGTTTTCAAGCACTCTTTATCCCTTCGATATTACTTGAACATTTTATACTTGATTTTCTAAAATGAAAACTCGATCGCCCTTGTACTTTAAGAAACTCCAGTTGAATCTTGATTTACGAGTAATTGAGGTTCATTTTCGTGAAATTTTCTTAGATTGTACTAGTGTACAATCTTCCTTGATAATTGGGATATGAATGATAATACATTATTATTTGCTCAGGCGCACACGAGAACCTTCAAGTGAATCCTACCGTGCACACTTGAACTTCCAGAAAATATTTCTTCTTGATTTGCTCGGTGAGTGTCAAGTGTATGACTACTTGAACTCTATGGACTTGATTCATGTTTGGCTTACCTGATTACACGCTTAGCCTACTTGGTTTTGAAAAAGAGAGTCGAGTGTGTACTTTATCGCACTCGATCTCATTTGAAACAAATGATTCATGCTTAACATGGTTTGCCTGATTTACATGACCTGAAATATATGCTTGAACCTGTCGAATGCTTGAATACATGACATGGTATGCTATGGCTGCATACGTCGTTGGAGTGAATCTCCTCGACACTTACATGATACATGGGGGACGCCCAAACTCATAGGCCGACCTTGAAACTCGAGCCGGCATGGGTTTGGTCGGGAATCTCGGTGAGCCATGAGATTCACATGATAAGCTTGATCTATTGAGAGATCTTGCTTAGCATACTCGTGGAATATCGCCTTATAAATGTCGTGCGGGCCCGAAGCGGTGTATGGTGGACGGATGAGAAGTAAGTGGTGATCTATGGTTTGGAAATATCAATCCGGTTGACGGAGAGTCATCACGGGAAGATATACGAATGAACTGGCAAAGCAAGTGGAACTTAGCTCCTGAGAGCTACCATATCCTTGAATTGTTTCTAGTTACATTTTTGGTTGGCATTATTAATTACTTGCGAGCTATTACTTGAATCGTTACTTGGCCTTGTTACCTGAGCTATGTGCCTGCATGTGTGTTCTTGGCCTCACGAGCGTTTTTGCTCACCCTGTAGATTTGTTTTCTTTAACAGGTTTGAACTTGGAGGTGTACTCGAAAACCTTCCTGATGGGCTTTTGTTTAGGATTTCTATTACTTTTGGCTATGCCTTGGTTTTGGGTTGTACTTTTGGATTTGAAATGTAACTCTTGGGGCGATGATGTAACTTTTGGGATTCATGATGTACTTTGAACCCCGACGTCGGGTTGGATTATGGATGAATATTGTTAAGATTGAACGCTTCCGCATTTACTGTATTTAAGTTATTTACGTGTGTTGTGTAGTTCGATAATAAGCTTGAATGGAATTGCTTGAGTCCTGGCGAGAGCTAGGCAGGCGTCCGCGGATACCCTTTGGTTCGCCTTAAGGAGAAGTGGGGGCGTCACAAGTTATAATGGTAGTGGGATCTCTGAAATGCTTTTCGGAGCCTTTAATTCAGCTGCATAAATATCTATCACATTGCCATCAATAGTACTTGATCAGACTAGCTTGCTAAGGTTAATTGTGAATCAAAATCACCTATGGTGGACTTTGTTATGGGTGCTTCACTAGCCACATCTCCCTCAATTGCTATGGGATGCTGCTGCTTATGCTGTTATAGTCAAATACATTCCAAATGCACTACTAAGTATGATATAGCATATTCAGAACACTCAACGTCAAGAATATTCAGTCTAACACATACATACTATAACCCATACTCATTCTAATCAAATTTAATTTCATGAATACTGGGTTGCTACTATACACATAGGTATCAAGTGACAAATATTAACTAACAACTATTAATGATTCATAGTGTTGCACTTCCCTTCCCTCTCCTTGCTTTTATTTTTTCTCTTCTATTGTCAATCTTCTTGATTTTGCTTAAATATAATTATGCTAATGGATTACTAATTTACAACTATATGAGAGTATTGCTACACTGTCACTCTTTGTTCACATAAAACAATAGGTATTCAACATGATATAAAGGCACGCTACTAAAATACATTGTAACCATTCTTTTTCACTATGTCAGGTATACTGAACAATGTGTACATTCGGACTAATACACATAACCTAGAATCTACACTCATTGCAATCAATTTTGAAGCAATCCATTTCAACTAGATTGCTACTATACGAATAGGTACCAACTCGTAAACATGAGGTAACAACAGTTAATGCTAGTATATTGTGTGCACTTCCCTATCTCCTTCCCCCTTTCTTTTTAAATTTTTCTCCTGTTGTCAATCTTCCATACCTTATTTTAATATTGTTATGGTAATAGATTATTGATTTTCAATTGCATCAAAGCATTGCTCCAATGTCACTAATTAGTCACATGACGTAATACGTAACCAACAAAATGTATAGGCATGCGTAATAATCTTGTAACCAATTTTTAACAATAGGTGAGGCACATTGAACATTGTGTAAATTTAGCATAACACATACAAATCCCAATCAACAGTAATGCTAATCAATTGTAAAGCAATTAGTTCCAATTACTGATTTACATTGCATCCCACTATTTCTCCACTATCATTAGTTCATCTAAAAAAATATTTGCTATCCAACATGATATTAGGACATACTCATCTAAACATCTTCACCTATATATATCTACTTTTGACGAGCCATTTTGCTTACCTTTTCTCTTCCTATGTGTCTTAGTTTATCTTAAATTGATCACCCATAAACACCTAGTAATAGTATATACACCAGAAGATTTGCTTGCTTACCCAAAAAAATACAACTTTTAAATTTCCCTATTCTTTTACCTGCCCAAAACCTCCTCACTTATTGTGGAAAGTTCATATAGTTCGTATAATGAATATACCATTCTTATTATTGTGGAAACTCATGGCTTCTGTTTATCCTCTACTAGCAATTCCTACCAATAATTGGTTGGACAGTTGCCCTTTACTTTTTCACAAACACTTGTTGTGCAAAATTTTCTTCCACTTTCCTCTTTTATATGGTCCATCCACATATTTAACTCCTAGTATTCCTATAGCTTTCCGAACAAACTTTCTATTTTATTTTTTTATAGTGTTTCAATCAAATTGTGTGCTTAAAATAAGTACAAGTAAAATTGTTCCACATCATTGTCAAAGTATGCAAATTATATGACAAGCTTGCAGTATTATTACCTGGGTATGTCTCTGCTTAGTCTTTGCTTCGGATCCCCCATCTCCCATTTTACAATTTGAGTTCATCTTTCCTAAACTTTTTTTAGATTTCACACTTCCAAGACTATCCCTTTTTGCCACTATTTTTTCCTTCTCCTCATTGTAATTTTTATTAAGTGACAGTGCATTTCCACCATTTTTCTTCTTTGCCCTTGGTCTGCCACTTTCCTATTCTACAATGTTATTTTGCCATATGCTATCTTGCCCTATTTTCTAGAGTTGTGGATGAATGAATATTGGCAATTATTTTGGAGGGAATGCAAGGGACTTTTTTTTTTACTGCTTCCTGTTCATTTGGGCGGGATTCTATGGAACGGAGTCCTAACACTTTGTGACGGAATCTGTTAAAGTAACACATCGATTATTTTTTTTTTTTAGCCTTACTAATTGAAACGAGGTCATTTTGTCTCCTACTTATTCCCTTGCGATGTGGCTCTTGCTAAGCCTCTTGTTGGAGCATGTGAGAGGACCGCTCCTGAACAGTCCATCTGATGTCCGTTTGTGCCCCATATCCAATTTGATATCCCTCAAAATTTTGGGAGACATATGTCATGCATTGCATTGGGTGTCAAACACGTGTCAGCCTTGCGCTAACTTCTCCCTTAGTGGGAAATTTATCTACACTAGAAAATGCAATGGAGGAAGGGAGCTTACCAAATCATTCAGTGTCTTGTCCCATTTTAGAGTGTCAAACTCACTAACTAGTTAATTTACATATGACAACCAATGCCAGACGATGTACACCTATTATGTCATGATGCTACACTTGGCTCATGACTCGAATAGATTTTGAATGCACTTCAAATAGCAATCAGCTATCTACAAATTAAGCTCTATATTTTTTGGTCCAGATGAGCCAGTTTTACACAAGAGCCAATTATTTTACACATCTCTTCTGTTCAATTGGAATTTGTTTCTTTAGGAAGTAATGCCGTTTTAAATGTTATGGAAGTTTGACAAAAAATGGTTTGGCATACTTCAATGATTGACTCAATTCAAGGTTGGCTTAAAGTATGTTACAGAAGCTGCTTCAATGGCAACTTAGTTACATAGTCCAAAGAAGAGAGCTGAATAAAAAGATGCAAAGTCGCATCTTTTTCCCATGTCAAGGGCTCCCATGGCTTCTTAAAGCTTTTCACAGATTCATTATGCTGATTCTTGGAAGAAAGAGTCAAAATGAGATTGCTTTAACCAGTCTATATTAATGAGATTGCAGATATTTGTTGAGTTGTTGAACTCAAATTCGTTGAAGTTGACAAGCACGACATTAGTTCCTGGTAGTTGAAGTAGCTAACTTGTGGTTATTTTCGCTATTATACAATCTATGGGAACAACTGACAACCTATGTTCTTGCAAAGGCAGATTATTTGCAAATTCTCTATTTGTTCGCCTGTTATTAATGATTCTGCACAAGCATATACAAAAAGTGTCTTAAATTTTTTACTTGCACATGCAGCTCCAGGGGTGGTTGAGAAGCCTGGTGATAATTCACTCTCAAGGCTGAAGATGCTATATACTCAAGCCAAAGAGCTTTCAGAGGGTGAAATAAAGTGTGTCCATCATTTCCACTTCTTGCTCTTTTTCTTCCTTGTGCGTGCAAATTACGCTCAAACATAAATCACTGTTGATAGGCAGACATTTCCAAAAGCTTTGGTTCCATTCATATGTTAACGATTTCGGTGGTGGAGGAAGTAGTATGCCCTGGATTATTCTATGAAAATACTTCATAATAACTGTTGAATTCTTCTGGAATTGTTTATTCTAGATCTGCAAAAGTAAGCACCTAGATCATTGTCTGTTTGGTTGCAGTTTCTCCAATCAGTTGTTACTTGTTTGGGCAACTTGATGCTTTGATACCTACTGGACCTTCAGGGCAACAGCGAAGAAGGATAGGTATGTCTACTCTCCCAGAAGTGACAAAGGATATGTATTTTTGTTTGATACTGCTGATAAATGACTGTAAATAAGTAATCTAAGAACTTACTCGGGCTTTATGCTGCCTTAAGTTTTTGCTGTTGCATTCACCAAAAAAAATTTCATTTTTGGGTCGTTTGGTATACAGAGGGGGAAATTAACCTTCTTTGGAGCTTACAAAATGGTGATTGAAATTGAAAAGAAGATTAATAGGAAAAGAGAGAGACTTGAAATTAACGGTGTCAATGGAGAAGCCTGCAACTGGGACCTGTGCTGCCCTTTGATTTTGGTTAAGCTCAAAGTTTCCAAAAACACTGCATCAAACATATTTTCTCCCCAGGTCAATAACTTTGCAAAGTCATAGCTAAGAAATATGAAAGAAAAAATATCTTCCCCTTAGTAAAGAACTATTGAAGGGTGTAATTGTAAGTGAAAATGATTTCCCAAATGAGTGAATTATGAGCATTAAATATCAAGTAATGCTTCTTATGGTGTTTCTAGTACATGGAACCTAGTAAGAGAGAAAATCATTTATTTCTGACAGAGTCAATTTGGTCATCTTATCTTTTGTACTATTTTGTTTTTGAGATGATGTAGTTTTTCTTGGCTTTGATTTGCATTCGAAGTAACCTTTTTTGATATCCATGCAGGTTCATTCTTTCTCAGTAAACTTTTTTTTGATGTTACCTACAGACGGCAGTGAGCAGCAGAAAAAATAAAGGTATGAAGGCTGATTCTGATGTCTCAATATTGACACCTTCTGCGCATAACCACCTTGATGCTCTTGCTACTTGCTAGTTTGAAGGGTGAACGAGTATGAACTGATTATTATTTTCATTGACATGATAACCTCTTTTGTTTTTGTCCTAGTGTAACTTAGGGCAGCAGCCTAACACGTTATTTGTTCTTGCTTGCAATAACTTTTCAATAGTTCTTTGAAACTTGTATGTTTTCCGGGTAGCAGCTAGGGTTACCCAAGAGGATGCTGATAAAGATGAGTAGTTTATAGTTAGAGTAACACAGTTCGACAGAGCAAGTAGAGAGTAAGTCAATTTCTGAGACTAGCTTGGAACTATCTTATCTCATCATCACAGGGGCCTACAAAACACATCATTAAGGAGAAAGATCATCCATCCTCTCTTGAAATGTCACAGTTTCATTTCTTGTGTTGTTCAAAAGTTCAAAATTAACTGCAAAGATCATCTAATTAACTTCCTCCATCTCATTTGCATTTTTTCTTACTTCTGATGACTACGTGCAGATTTGAAGTCCTAGACGAAGAACCTGGTGATGATGAGGAGGTTGGCGGGCAGAGATAGAAAACCTGGTTCCTTTTATTTCTATCCATCTGAGGATATCTAATCCAAATTTCTCTTGTGCCTTTTAGTTTACTAAGCTTTTGCATGCACTTATTTAATTAGGAGTTATTTTGTATCCTTTTTTTCTACAGTCAAGGACTATCAATTTTCTTTTTCTTTTTATTATCTTAAACTATAGTCTAGTATGATCTTTCTTCATGAACAATTATGCCTTTTTCTTTTAACTAATGTACCAGTTGTAGTTGTACGACAGACAAAAGAAAAACAAGAAGAATGTAGGATGTTTCGCGATAGAATTCGATACATAATTCGCTGGATACCACAGTATCTGCACAGGCATGTATCTTGAATAATGATTTTTGAAACATTTCTTCTTGATAAAATAACATTCAGAAACCTCAGTATTGTCATTTTGTTAAATTCACTTTGAAACTAAGCATCAAATGACAAATGCTACTTGATTTTTTTGGTTTAAACCTATAAAACAATGATCAAACATTTGCCTATGTGGATTATTCTGAAGCTTCAAATATAGTTTATGCAAGTCTTATCTCCTTTTAAAATACTTTTATTTGGTCATATATAGTTGGAGTTACTCGTCAGTCTCCTTGTTTCAAGCCCTGATTGTCGTTGTTTATTCAACTGATTGGGAGCTGAATTTTACTTCTTTCAGGAAGTACAAGCTCCCCAAGCAGAATGATCCCTCTAGCGCTCAAGATTTCCCACCAGGAAAACATGTTCTAGCTGTCTACCCAAACACCACTGCCCTCTATAAAGTAACTGTAGTTCAAGCTCGTAAGGTACATTCTGCCTATATGTAGTTTCAATTGTTCCTGTACATTACGTGCATTTTACAATAGCAGCATGACTGTCCATTAATCTTGTGTTGACATCCCTTTCTACAACTTGTATGGCATTTGGTGGCTTCCGCTGTTGGTTTTCAGAGAAAAACTGACGAGTAAGAAGCTATCTCAATCAAACTTTGGTATTCATCTAGTATTTTGAAGAATTAACAACTCGACATGTTTTTCTTTTGACTAGTTTAGATGATTCCTTAGTAGTTATTCAAGCTTGTTTGTAAATTCAGTTCAGACTGTTTTCCCTTTGCCTGTATTGCTTGGCAGTAATACTCTATAGGAAGGCCTGGTTCGATTTGTTCCAAGGAAATGATTATAGTAATATGCTCGAATGATTGTTTGGCAGGTACATACTAGAATTTGACGGTGATGAGGAAGACGGATCTTTGCCTCAGCGGTCGGTTTCCTTCCATAGTGTGGTTGCTCTTCCAGAGGGATCTTTGCTTCTGCAGTGAACATAAGTTGGTTCACACTTGTTTATATTTTTCATTGCAGTACAGGGAACAGGGAAAATCTGCTTGGTGTATTTATTGGGCATCCTACCGCTACTCGAGCCGAGTTATTTAAGCTAGTCAATTGTTGTATATTAGTGTATTGGCAGTCGTGGTCTTTACTACTGGAAGCGATTGGTCTCCTGGAAGCTCACGAAATTCGTCTTGGATCTCAAATCCTCTGAAGCTTGGGCATGGCTCTTCACTCAGCTCAGAGACCAAAACCCCCAGAGCCACAGATACCTCCATGGTTGTCCTGGACATGCTACCCAAAACATCACAGATTACAAGGCAGTTTTTCAATTTTCCCTTATTGGCCAAATCCTCCACCATTCTCTGCCGGTGCAAACTCAGCAACTTCACCACCATCGCCATCATTTAAAGCCGCAATAATCTAATATGGCAGCTATGCACCAGCAGCAATTTTGTCCTTGCCAATTGCCATCCTTCACCTTGAACAGATACTCCTCAAACCTTTCTTTGTTGTGTTTCAGAAACTTCTCCTTGTAAGTTGTAATTCTTCATAGCCACAGATGCAACCCTGTTATAAGGGATGGAGCCCCAGTTGCAAGCCCCAATGCAGACCTCGGGCAATTCCAAGGCCTTGTGCAGAAGAACCAGAACCTGCTTCCTCAGTTGATCTCTCACGCTAAAAGCATAATGTACATCTTCAATCCCATCGTATTCGGGATAGGACTCCCAGGGGAATACCTTTCTCGCAATGCTTTTGCATAAGAGGGTCAATTTTTCAAAGGAAGAATCCAGTGAGGGACAACACTTGGCAGCAAGGCTGATCTTGCTCAACTCCCAAAAATTCAATGGCGGTATCGTTCAACTGCCCTTTTGGCCTGCTTAATCTTCTTCTCCACTCTTTGTTTCCTGGCCATCTGTTTCTCCATCTCAACTTGCTGCAGATAATTCAACACGTTCTTCTTGCTGTAGATGGCCTTCTGCTACGAGCTCTGCTCCCTCTGGTGCTCAACAAGACAACAAAGCCCTGAAGGGGTATCCGTGTGCTAAAAATCCTTAACTGATCTCCACTTGAATCGATTTTTGTAAGAATTTCCCTACACTTGACGCAATTGAGGATTAATTCGACATTTTAGAAACAAGGTTGCAGACCAAGACCGATGTTGATCACTACAATTAATTTGGAGGAAAAGAATTGGTACAATTTATCTACATGAACGATGAACAATATTCTTTACAATGTACAGCCTAACAGACTAGAAGATATCATACATCTACACTATACACATTCCACAAAAAGAATTAAAAAAAAAAGTGAACAGAATCAAGCAACATCGCTTTGTTTAGGGCATTGATTCTCTGAATTTTGGCACCCCAGGACAGTGCAACAACGATCTTGAAAGTAGGGTTCTTGAACAACGTTCTTGACAACAGAAAGTAGTCGATCAAGTCTGTGGTTGACAGCATTCAATTGCTCGTGTAGATCAGCCTCCCCGACCAAGAGCATCTTATGGTCCCTGACCATCTCCGCTTGCACATCCAGTTGAAAGAATCGAATGAGGGAACGTTCCAAATCAGCGATTTTCTTGGAATAGGAGTACTTCTTGTACAAATTCCACCACTTGATTCTTGTGCATTTGCGCACGAGACTCTCCCCTTCTGCTAAACGAAGGATGAACATGTCTGTTTCTCTCTGAGGGCTGTGCAGCTTCCCATTCAGCGTCTCCACTTGATCGAAGTAACACTTGAGCGGAGCAAGAGTTGTCTTCAAACTGTTGAGGCTGGAACTGAACGTTGTCACTCTGGTGGTTGCTTCTAAAACTGCTTCCACCAGTCCATTAAAAACCATCCCAAAAGCAGTGTCTCCAATCAGATTTACAGCCATCTTTTAACTTCTTTTCCTGACGAACTGCTTAAATTGTAGCACAAGAAGCTACACAGAAGGAAGGAAAAATTGATTGATACCCTTACTGCTAGTCTTTCAAACAAACACACAGAAATACTTGTGAAAGCTGAAGAACAGAATAACGAACAGATTAGAAATAGAAACTGGTAGTGGTAGCAAGAAATTAATTCACTATGATCGAAAGAGAGAGAGAAGACGTTAATGGGATTGCCGGGCATTGGAAGAGCAGGGATATATAGGAGTAAGACGGGAGTGATTTTGGAAACAGAATCAAATTTAGAAACTTACCAAAAAACAATTGCTTATTGGGTAGCTAACTACTCAGGTTTTGGAAACAAGATCTTGCGGATCGGATGATCTTGTTTCCAAAACAGAGCACCTATTCTAAGCAATCAAGGATCGATGAAACAAATAGTTTCCAAATTTGGTGACTTCCTATTTTGCAGTCATATTTGGTAAAGTTTAGTCGTTAGCTTTCGCGCTGCCGTTCAGAAAGTAAAAAGCGTCTATTTTGAATTTTGATAAAGTTATTTTCCAATAGTGTAGGATAAATTACATACAATCCCCCATAGTTTTACATAATGCCAGATGACCATTCTAAACTTTTAAAATCCCTTTGTAGTTTTATGTAAAGTGAAAAATTTATGGAATGCATAATCATTTACTACAATTATACCACATGAGCTCAAAAAATGCATGTGAATAAATTATAATACCAATTTAATCTCCCAATGATGTGCATAAATATTCACTTTATCCTTTGTGATTTTTTTAACCACATAATCTCCCTATAATTTTGCACAAGGTGGTTTAGTTGTCATTTGATTTAGTATTAAGTAAGAACACTGCTAGTATTTACGACATTACATACGCTATTTTCCATTAAATTGCCAGTTTACATAAAACTATAGGGGGTCAAATGGACATTTGTGAAATATTAGGAAGATTATATAACAATAGATGAAACTATAGGAGGTCATTAGCAATTTACCCTATTTTGTATTATAAATTTTTTTACGTCTGCTATCAAAATAAATGAGTGTAGATGAACAAAGAGTCATAATCGTTGTTTTACAATTAAACTACGTTCAAAATCTAAATAAAAATGCAAAAAACAGCCCAGCCTATAATTTTGTGCTAAATATCAGCCATAACTGCCTACTAGATTTTTTTGCAAAAAAAAAAAAAAACACTTCCCCCTAGATTTCATCCCATGGTTAAAATCTTCACTAAGTACACGAAAACGAAGAGGGACAAACCCGTATTATTTGTACCTCCTGTGAAAATATAATATTCTAAAAGTAGTTTAAAAAACGTTAAATGAGAAAAATAGTGGTAAAAAAGAAAAAGCAAAATGGATTGGTCTGAAAAGTAGAACCAAGATACTTAACACTTTACCATATTAGAAATTTTCATCAATCAAGTCAAACATTGTAAATTTCCCGTTCCACTTCTTGTTTCGTAAATTCCAACTCGCACAAATTTTAAAAAATAAAAAAACTAGTACATTTAAGTATTAATTAATTGCTAAAATAAAAAGAGGCAAAAGGTTTTACCACACTGAATCGACCTTGTTTGCACACTTTTCCTTTCATTATGCCCATTTTTTTGGTTGAGTGCAAGTAAAAGTGAGAGAGGTTGAATTCGAGAACTCTTACTTATATTCTCATCCTGAATCACAAAACCCATCCTCCCCCATTCCTCGCATTTTGCTTGACACTTCTGAGCCCTAATTAGAGAAGACAGAGATTTTACTGGGTAAAAGACGGATCCACTTCTTGTTTTATTCTCCGTTTTATTTTTTAGGATTAATCACAAAAACTCCCCCTAAGGTATAACCATTTTGCACTATGTCCCCTGACGTTATTTATTCTCATTTTATTCCCTAAATCGTTAGTCAATTCTAACATTGTGTAATGGTGATGTCGAAAAGACATTTATACCCCTAAGAGTTAACTACAAAAAATCTCCTTAAAATATAGTTTATTTTGCGCTTTATCCCTTAACATAATTTTTTATTAATTTTTTTATTTATTATTAAAATTATTAGTGAACTCCAATATTTGATAACACCCAAAAAAATTTATATCTAAAAAATCAATATTCCTAAAATAATAGTAATGAACAATAACTTTTATATATGTGTTCCTAGTTAAATTCATTCCACAATTGAACCTTTGTTTTAGATGGAGGAGAATATCTTGCTAATTTGATTCAATAGTGGGAAAAAACAAACAAAAATTATTATTAAAAAATTAAAATATGAAAATATTTTTAAAAGTTTTAAAAAGATTGGGATATTGTTAGTTTTTCTTTAGGAATGTGCATACGGCTAAGCTTTTCTTTTAATAGTTAGATTTTTTATATGGAAGTATACATTTTTTGTTGATAATACTAAAAAATAGAAATATGGTTGGTTTGGAGTTCAAAATTTTCAAAGTTGCTTTTTTTAATATACCATGCTTAGATGCTATTAAAATTTATTTAACTTGCTAAACTTATTTAAAATTTTTATTGCATCTAAAAAAATTGCTGAGTGGTGCAATATATTAGAGTTAACTAATGATTTTATGGATGAATAGACAAATGAAGAGAAAAATGATATTAGTGGATAAAGTATCAAATAACTATACTTAGGGGATTTACTATAATTAGCCTTTAGGGATATCAATGTCTTTTGATATTTGCGTTTCGCGATGTCAGAGTTGACTAACGGTTTAGAGGGTAAGTGAGAAAAAAATAATGTTAGATGGCAAAGTGCATAACTGTTAAACCTTAGGAGGAGTTTTTATAACTAATCCTACTTTTTATTATATTGCTGTTTCTTTTTTATAAATATTATATTTTAATTCTTTTTTATTTTTTTACTATCAAATAATTATTTTTTTACTATCAAATAATTATTAACACAGTAAAAACAAATACAACTGTCTCAAAAAAGCAATATTGAAAAATCAAAATATACAGTAGAAAATTCATAGAAAGACTCATTTTTTTTGTGTAATTTGATGTTTTGAGTTTGTTATTAAATTTTGTGTATTACTAAAATCTAATAGTTACTAGATTTTAAAAAAATTAAAATATGATATTTATGAATATTAAGAAAATAAAAAATATTAAAATATAATATTTACGATGGAAAAAGGGTAATATAATAAAACTACGAAAGATGGAATAGAAAATGGGACAGAGTACCGTTATGTGCGACGCCCATGGGTGACAGCAACAATGGGGAAGAAGGGTGGGGACGTAATCAAAGAGGAAGAGAAGAAGGAATCAAGCAAAGAAGGGCAAAATCTTTGGGGCCACCGAGGTTCAAGGAGGCGAATTGGCGGTTCAAGTGCATGGAGACGGATCACAAGCTGCCGGCCCATGCCAGAGACAGCAAGCACTGCCGCCTCTTGGGCTGATCGACGCCGCTCTCTCGAACAACGAACGCCCTCTCAATGCGTTCCGTCAAGATCCTTAGTCCGGGTATTTATTCATTTAACCACGGGCTCTTATGTTTCTAGCTTTCCCTTCTTCTTGGTCTCTCAATCGTTTTTTCTTTGGCGTTGATTGTGCTAGTAGAATCGCCATGCGTATGTAAACTGCGTCCAAATTTGCAGGATTGGTTTTTGTGATTGCTTGTGCTTTCTTAGTTCAGTTTTGTGGAGATTGTGTTTTAGCTGATTAAGTGTGTGTATAGAAGGAACATGTTTTGAATCAACAGAACAGAGCTGACCTGAGTGAAAGAGGAATCAGCAGAAGCTCCAACAGCTGTTCAATCAAAAAGAAGCAGAGCTAATAGCTAGTGTGCCCTGAGCCTGTGTAGGAGGAGAGACAGGATTTTCTGGAAATACTCCAAATTAGGTTCATATACAGTAAAATCTGGGTATACAATTGCTAAGCAGGATAAACACAGCGGATAAGGAGGGAGGAAGAGAGAGCTGAGACCAGCTGCGAGATAAGAAAGCACACTGTCTGGAAAAAGCTGTGGAATCTGAACTTGAAGGCGAAGCTGAAACACTTCATGTGGAATTGTCCACAAAATTGCTTGCCAGTGAAGGAGGTCATCTATAAAAGAACTGGTAAAGGGGATAAAATATGTGAGTGCTGTGGGGAGGCAACTGAGACAGTAGAGCACCTGTTTTTCCATTGTCCAATGGCAGAAATGACATGGAAAATGGCACCAATTAGAGATAAGAGATAATATATGGATGTGGTGGGAAACAGTAGTACAGTCAGAGGAAAAAGCTCAAGGAAGAGATCAAATTAACTTCACAATCAATATTTTGTGGCAGTTATGGAAGGCAATAAACAAGAGAATCTTTGAGCACAGAGTGACAGAAGCAAGAGACATAGTGCAAATGGCACAACAGGAATGGATGGTGTTCAAAATGGCTAATGCAACTGATGAGGAAAAGGTCAAAACAACAACAACAGGAGAGATGGGAACTACCAAAGCTGGGAGTTGTTAAGATTAACACAGATGCAGCCATATCAACTCAAATGGTAAGAATAGGGAAGGGAATTATAGCGAGGAACTGGACTGGAAAAATAATGAAAGCAAGGGGTATAGTGGAATGGAAGAGTGGAAAAGCCGTTGAGGAAGAAGCTCTGGCAGTAAGAGTTGCGCTTAGGATGGCAAAAGATGCAAGATGGACTAAGATAAAGTCCAATCAGATTGCAAATCCGTGGTGGACCAAATCAATGCAAGCAATGTTCAAGACATTAGTATTGCAACAGTCCTGGAGGATATTGAGGAGATGAAGAAAGAATTTGAACAGTGCAACTTTTCTTTTGTGTATAGAGCAGGGAATGTGTGTAGCCATACACTAGCTCAATATGCAATCAGGCTAGTAAATGATATACAATGGGACACTGAGTTCCCGGTATGGTTAATGGATATAGCAAGGAAAGATATGAGGGCGGTCGCCCCTTTTTGTAACTAAATCTTGTATTATCAAGTGTTAATATATGAAAGTACTGTTACCGTTTGTGGAAAACAAAAAGAACAGAGCTGATCTGTGCAGCAAAGTGAATTGGATGAATTGTAGTTTTGTTACTTTTAACACTCATGTTGTTTCCAAGGTAGAATTTTTAGTCTGTCTCGTCTCAACTCGTCTCGTTCGGTCTATTTCCTCTGAGGTTAACTTAACAGATAAAGCCTTGATATTACTTTCAAGGTTCTGTTTCTTGGTGGTTCCTGGAATGAGATAGACATCATCTCCTTGGCAATGAACCCGTGCCAATGCTAACTGTGATGGCGTACAACCCTTCCCGAAGCTATTTTGATAACCTGCTCAAACATTTTGAGATTGTGTTCAACATTTTCTGGCTAAAATCTTTGCCTTATCTGCACATTTTTAACCAGAACAGTAACAAGAATTGTTGGTTGAATTTTGACACTAGAAAAACTAATGTACCAGTTGTAGTTGTACGAAAAACAAGAAGTATGTAGATAAAAGAAAAATAAGAAGAAAAACAAATGTACCAGTTGTGGATAAAAGAAAAACAAGAAGAATGTCGGATGTTTCGTGATAGAATTTGATACATAATTCACTGGATACCACAGTATCTGCACAGGCATGTATCTTGAATAATGATTCTTGAAACATTTCTTCTCGATAAAATAACATTCAGAAACCTCTGTATTGCCATTTTGTTAAATTCAATTTGAAACTAAGCATCAAATGCTACTTGCCCTTTTTTCCATGTAGGTTGTCCCCGACATGCTACCCAAAACATCACAGATTACAAGGCAGTTTGTCAATTTTCCCTTATTGGCCAAATCCTCCGCCATTCTCTGCCGCTGGAAACTCAGCAACTTCACCACCGTCACCATCATTTAAAGCCGCAATAATCTAATATGGAAGCAATGCACCAGCAGCAATTTTGTCCTTGCCTTCCTTCACCTTGGACAGATACTCCTCAAACCTTTCTTCTCCACTCTTTGTTTTCTTGGCCATCTGTTTCTCCATCCCAACTTGCTGCAGATAATTCGACACGTTCTTCCTGCTGTAGATGGCCTTCTGCTTCGAGTCTCTGCTCCTCTGGTGCTTAACAAGACAACAAAGCCGTGAAGGGATATCTGAGTTCTAAAAAGCCTGTTTGGTATTTGATTGCCTCTGGAGTTCGGTAAATTGATTCTTAGGCAATGGGTGAAGAGGACAGCCGCAACTTGCATTATTATTATGAATAGATTTTTCTTGTTCTTGATAATGCATAATCCTAAACTGATCTATACTTGAATCGATTTTTGTAAGAATTTCCCTGCACTTGATGCTATAACGCTGTAAGAGTGAACAAATATGCAATGAAAATTGAACATTGATTTGAGCCAATCATCAAGCAGTTGAGGATTAATTCAACATTTTAGAAACAAGGTTGCAGACCAAGACCGATATTGATCACTACAATTAATTTGGAGGAAAAGAATTGGTACAATTTATTTACAAGAACAATGAACAATATTCTTTACAATGTACAGCCTAACAGCCTACAAGATATCATACATCTACACTATACACATTCCACAAAAAGAATGAAAAAAAAAGTGAACAGAATCAAGCAACATCGCTTCGTTTAGGGCGTTGATTGTCTGAATTTTGGCACCCCAGGACAGTGCAGCAACGATCTTGAAAGTAGGGTTCTTGAACAACGTTCTTGACAACAGAAAGTAGTCGATCAAGTCTGTGGTTGACAGCATTCAATTGCTCGTGCAGATCAGCCTCCCCGACCAAGAGCATCTTATGGTCCCTGACCATCTCCGCTTGCACATCCAGTTGAAAGAATCGAATGAGGGAGCGTTCCAAATCAGCGATTTTCTTGGAATAGGAGTACTTCTTGTACAAATTCCACCACTTGATTCTTGTGCATTTGCGCACGAGACTCTCCCCTTCTGCTAAACGAAGGATGAACATGTCTGTTTCTCTCTGAGGGCTGTGCAGCTTCCCATTCAGCGTCTCCACTTGATCGAAGTAACACTTGAGTGGAGCAAGAGTTGTCTTCAAACTGTTGAGGCTGGAACTGAACGTAGTCACTCTGGTGGTTGCTTCTAAAACTGCTTCCACCAGTCCATTAAAAACCATCCCAAAAGCAGTGTCTCCAATCAGATTTACAGCCATCTTTTAACTTCTTTTCCTTACAATCTGCCTAAATTGTAGCACAAGAAGCTACACAGAAGGAAGGACAAATTGATTGATACTCTTCTTACTACTAGCCTTTCAAACAAACACACAGAAATACTAGTAAAAGCTGAAGAACAGAAAAATGAACAGATTAGAAATAGAAACTGGTAGTGGTAGCAAGAAATTAATTCACTATGATCGAAAGAGAGAAGAAGACGTTAATGGGATTGTCGGGCATTGGAAGAGCAGGAATATATAGGAGTAAGACGGGAGTGATTTTGGAAACAGAATCAAATTTAGAAACTTACCAAAACAATTTGCTTATTGGGTAGCTAACTGGTCAGGTTTTGGAAACAAGATCTTGGGGGATCGGATGATCTTGTTTCCAAAACAGAGCACCTATTCTAAGCAATCAAGGAACTTTCCATCTTTAGCGCATTGTCGGATAAATATAAACTACTCCACAAAGAAAGAAGGTTTAATCGATCGATGTAACAAATAGTTTCCAAATTTGGTAACTTCCTATTTTGCAGTCAATTTCCTTTTTATCTTTCCTATTGATAAAGTTAGCCGTTAGCTTTCGCGCTGCCGTTGAGGAAGTAAAAAGCGTTTATTTTGAATTTTGACAAAGTTGTTTCCGAATTGTGTTGGGTAAATTACATATAATCTCCCTATGGTTTTGCATAATGCCCGAGGATTCATTTAAGGTTCTAAAATAATTACATAATTCTTTCATAATTTTTATGTAAATTGAAAAATAAATGGACTGCATAATCATTTATGGCGATTAAACCACGCGCGGTCTAAAAGTACATGTGATGAAATTATAACATATATTTAACCCCTCTATAGTTTGCATAAATATCCATTTTACTCTTTGTAATTTTGAGGTTTTAAAATAGTCACATAGTCCCTCTGCAGTTTTATGTAAAGTGGAAAATAAATCGAATGTATAATCAGTTACCGTAATTAGACCACACAAGCTCTAAACATAATTATGATGAAATTATAATATCCATTTAACCCTTTTATAAATTATATAATTCTACTTTATACTCAGTGGTTGGTACATTCATCCACATGATTCCTCTATGATTTTGTATAAGGTGGTTTAGTCGTCATTTGATTTAGCACACACTACGGGTATTTCAACTAACAACATTATATATGTTATTTTTAATTCAATTTTCAATTTATATGAAACCATAGGGGGATGAAATGGACATTTTTAAAACATTAGGAGGATTATATGGCAATAGATAAAACTAGTAATTTAGCCTATTTTATATTATAAATCTTGTTACGTCTGCAATCAAAATAAATGAGTGTAGATGAACAAAGAGTTTTACTCGTTGTTTTACATTTAAATTACGTTCAAAATCTAAATAAAATGGCGAAAATGTTCCCAACCAATAATTTTGTGCTTAGCATTAGTAATAACTCCCCACTAGATTTTGTTGCCCAAAAAAAATTTCCCCCTAGATTTCATCCATGGTCGAAATCTTGAATAAGTACAAGAAAACGAAGAGGGACAAACCCACATTATTTGTACCTCTTGTAAAAATGTTATTTTACAATTTTAAAAGTAGTTGAAAAAGGTTAAATGAGAAAAATAGCAGTAAAAAAGAAAAAATGGATTGGTTTAAAAAGTAGAAACAAGATACTTAACACTTCACCATATTAGAAATTTTCATCAATCAAGTCAAACTTTGTAAATTTTCAGTTCCACTTCTTGTTCCGTAAATTCGAACTTGCACAGATTAAAATAAAAATAAAAAACAAAAAAATTTTTACATTTAAGCATTAGTTAATTGATTCCAAAAAGAAAAAAGCTTTTACCACACTGAAACGACCTGATTTGCACACTTTTCCTTGCATTATGCCTTTTCTTGTTTTAGTTTAAGTGAGAATGGAATGGTTTGAATTCGAGTATTCGTATTTACACTCTCACTCGGAGCCACAAAATCCATCCCTCCCCTAGTTCCTTGCATTATGCTTGACATTTCTGAACTCTAATTAGAAAAGACAAAGATTTTATTGTGTAAAAGACATTGCTGTCTTCTGTTCTACTTCTTACTTCACTTTCTGTCTTATTTTTTATATGTTGCTGTCAAATAATTACTAACACAATAAAAAATAAATACGATAATTTCAAAAAAATATGTAATTGAAAATAAAAAATACAGTAGCAAATTCATAAAAAAAAATTCTCATTTTTTATGTACTTTAATGTTTTGAGTTCGTTAAATTTAGTATATTTTCAGTTAATAATTATTAGATATTAAAGAAATAGTCATTGGATGTTTCGAAGCAAACAAAAATAAAATATGATATTTATAAATAAAAAATAGCAACCTAATAAACACGGGATAAAGAGTGAAATATGTATTGAGACAGAACATCCACTGTGTGCAAGGCCCTTGGGTGACAGCAGTAATGGGGAAGATAGGAGGGGAAGTAGTTAAAGAAGAAGGAAAGAAGGAATCAGGCAAAGAAGGGGATTATCTTTTGGGGCCACCGAGGTTGGAGGAGGAGAGTGGGCGGTTCAAGTGCGTGGAGACGGGTCACAAGCTGCCGGCCCATGCCAGAGACAGCAAGCAATGCCGCCACTTGGGCCTCATCGACGCCGCTCTTTCCAACAGCAAACCTCCCCTCAATATGTTCCGTCAAGATCCTCAGCCCGGCATTTATTCATTTAACCGCGGGCTCTTATGTTTCTGGCTTTCGCTTCTTCTTGGTCTCTCAATCGTTTTTTCTTTGGCGTTGATTGCGCTAGTAGAATCTCCATGCGTATGTAAACTGCGTCCCAATTTGCAAGATTGGTTTTTGTGATTGCTTGTGTTTTCTTAGTTCAGTTTTGTGGAGATTGTGTTTTAGCTGATTAAGTGCGTGTATGAAACGAACATATTTGGAATGAACAGAACAGAGCTGGCCTGTGCAGCGAAGTGAATTGGATGAGTTGTAGTTTTGTTACTTTAACGCTCATTTTGTTTCCATGGAAGAATTTTTAGGCTGTCTCGTCTCGACTAGTCTCCTTTCGTCTATAATGCAATTGGTAGTAGATGAAATAAAGGATTCCATTCTCGTTTGTAATTTTAGTTAACTTCTGGGTTCTCTTGTATAGCAGAAGAAAGTAGCAGTTCCCTTGCGAGAAACTCGATTGTTTGGATTCTCCACAGAACTTGCAGTGTCAAAGCTCTCAGTTTTATCTATTTATTTACTTTGTTGAGTACTTCTTTTCTTTTTTTTTGGGGTTCCATTTATGTATGCTCAAATTAAATGTTTGTTGCGACTCTGACTCTTATCTTAGGCAAGTGTATTTGCACTCCAAGATTAGCTTCTGGCGCTTCACTGAAATATTTTATTACATGAAGGAAGGTGGACACCCAAGGGACTATTTTGGAGTGCAAATATTGTTTTACTTGTCTTATAATGATTTATTCTCTATTACTTACAATCTTGCCCTGCATAGGTTGCCCTGGGTAGTCTAAGCCTGAAAGTATGTATTTTTTATGCTTGGGTTCTTCTGATACATATGGAAACATTTTTGGTAATTCTTGGGTTCCCTCTTGCAGTTAGAAGCTAAATCTGCATTCTAACGGGAGTTCCTATCAACAAATCAGAAGAGCATATCTGGAAGCATATTAATGGCAAACATTTTCCACAATGTGCTAGGTTTGTCCTGTTTTTCCCTTTTTGTTACATGAGGGAGCTGTTCATATTTGGAATGCCTAGGAATTTACCTGTGCAAAATGTGGAGTCATTGTGTAATACACTCATTTTGAGCTTCCATTTTGGACATCAACCTTATCTTTTTCATTTGGTATTGTGAACGGAGAAAGTGGAAACAGGATGATGGTCAAAAGGCAACAAAGAAATCAAACGTTAAGGATGATGGTTTGAAGAAAAAGAAGAAGATTCGGGAAGAGACTGGTGTTGAAGTTATCTCTGAAGCAAGAATTGTTTCTGAGAAGGACAGTGAACTGGAGGAAGAAGATGATTTCTGGATGCCACCAGTGGGAGAACATTGGGACAATGATGATGGAGGTGATAGGCAGGGCTCTGATCCAGAGCTGGGGCCAGAAAATGATGATGCTGACGGGGAAGGTACATTTTTATAGTTTGTTCTACACTAAGAGCCTGCTGAGTAATTCCTGAGGAGTATATATATAATTCCTTCTGCTTTTTGAAAGTGATTGAGGATTATATATAATTCCTTCTACACTAAGGTGCATTATTAATGCTCTAAATTACTATTGATCCCCTGAATTGCAACACTTTAGCGGATTAAATTGTCTTTTCGGAGAAAGGATAATATTGGACTCACTTCTTATTTGATGCCTAATGGCAGTCAATAGACAGACCCTTACTTTTTATACTTAGTTTAATCATGATTTGGTTCCAAGTGATTATTTTTTATGATTTTACAACCTGTTTGTCCAGTTTCATGACTTGGAGTTTTCTGACAAGTTGAAGTCCCCATTCATTGGCAAAAAATGGTGACTCAGGTATGTAATTGACTATTATTGTGTATTCTTGAAAGTTGAATACTTAGTTGCCTAAGTATTTGCTTTTGAATGTTCTGGGAATTGAAGGCTCATTTAATTTCTTAACAATTGTTAGTCCCAGCAGATTTTGGAAACAAGCTGGGAAGTTCAAACTTATTTTATATAAACTTTCCTTGGTTCAGGTTTCCCTGACAAGATGATCAAAGGATAATGACATTAAAAACTGTAATTTTGGTGGTTTGGAACCAATACTTTTTGGCATGAGAAGTGGAGAAGATGATTTTCATGCCATTGAATGCTCACCACTTTTAGGCCCAGAAAGGACTTTTGCTCCTTGCAGCATGCATATATCTATTGAGATCACATCTGATCCTCCCTTGTGAATTGGCATGTTGATTCATTTCATTTTTCTTTTTTGTAACATCCACATAGTATAATGTTTTATTGAATTTAATCATTAATTATGTCACCATTGCAAAAATAATCTTTACTTGTGCAAGTGGGACTGGTTCAGCTTCCATATTCATTTGTTGCTCGATTTGTTTCCTTCTTCTTTTATTGCAGTACATCTTGATGTAAATCTGATTTCAATATCTGTCAAATTCATTTGAGAACATTGCCCAAAAGTTTTGAGTTTTTGCTAACAGTATGTTGTTCTCGATATCCCACATAGCTTAATAATCAACACACGTTGGGTCCACTGGTGGCGTATGCCTCTACAATTTATTAAAGGGATAATTTTAGAAACCTCCCCTGAGGTTTCTAGCATTCTCACTCACCTCCCTGAACTTTGCAAAATATCAGATACCTCCCTTGTCAGGTTATTGGGCCCTATTTGTGATTAGGGGTGGCAATGGGGCGGGGGTAGGGCGAGAGACACCTCTCCCAACCCCCGCCTCGTTGCATTTTAATCCCCCCGCGGGCCACCGCTCTGTCCCGCACCCCGCCCCGCTTCCTCCGTGGGATTAAAAAAATTTTATTATATAATTTTACTATAATTAAATTTGAACAAATAATCAAGTATAAAAATATCAACGCATCACCAAATTATTATTCATTGTAACTTCACAATTGCAACTCATAAAAATAATTAAACAATGGTTATTTGAATACAACCTAATATGATAAAACAAATATAACCAAAATAATCAAGTTTTCACTTTTGATACAAATACAATAACTAAATTATTATTGTGTTTTTTTTAGAAAAAAGTATTATTGTATTAAGTGTAGTTAGGAATTTAATATAAATATATTAATAAATTTAGTACAATTAATTAATAATTTTTATTAATAAACATGTATAATTAGTAGTATATTTGATAATATCATTATATATATATAATTATGTACATATATATATATATATTTTTTTTTTTTTCCAAACGGGTGGTGGAGCGAGGGGTGGGGCAGGGGAGTATACCCCCACCCCGCCCCAATGACCCCCCACGGTGCCCCCGTTGCCATCCCTATTTGTAATATCATTGATGATGAATTGGCAAATATACCCTCAAATACCTCCCTTGCAAAATACTACTCGCATTAGCTCACTTTTCTACTCCCTTATCCAGTGTCCGTTAACGTTTGAACTATGACTTGCACTCTGGTGGTTAGGATTTGCTTATTTTACCTAAATGAAACTCGAAAATTAAGCTTGTTTTTACCTGGCTTGTATATCAATTGATGCTTGTATGTAGCCTTGTAGTGTAAACCATCATAGAGATTCATGAGAAAATTACAATAGTTTCAATCTTGGGCCAAATCTAAGAATATATGTGTTCATAGTTCCAGAACATGATCAAGGTGATAAGGATTTGCAGGATAGTTGCTTCAACCTTTGCAATCATCCTTTGTATGGTTCAATTACCATAATAGATATGGTCGTCTTATCTAACATTAATGGAATTAAAGAAAGCTTGCCTAGCGAATCTGATGTGATGAATTCTATGAACCAATTGAAGCCTGAGAGTGACTGTTTATATGACTTTAAAAGTGAATGCATCTCTACTATGAAACTGGCTTTGGATTTACTTTCAGATCAATTTTTGTTTGAAATGTGATGGATGTAAAATTGCTTTATATTCTTATATATGTTGGACGTTGGTATCCTAATAGATTTGAGAAATGGTGTAAATGATTTCTTCAGGTAAATTGGCCCGTATGAGATTGCATCTAACCCAAGCAATAAAGATATAAGAAGAAAACTCAAGCAAATTCTTGATAAGTACTGCAAAGTTTGCTGCATCACTATCGACTCCATAGGTGAATTTTGCAGTTCATGCTCGCACTTGAAACCAGAGGTAGAATGTAATCTCATTCCTTGTGGGTTCACCACTAAAAAGCTCCACAACGATAGTTAAACAGGTTCTATAAGGAGTAAGGAATTTTGGATTTAGTAAAATGATCTTCGGCTGTAAAATTTGGGAAGAGTTTTCTTCTATACAACAACTATTTAAGAAAAGTTAACTTTATATGTATATAGATCATTCAAGTATCTGTACATAGGAGAGTTAAACATCTTGTAAAGACTCTTAACCATGTTAATTTACCTCAATGAAGACCCCAAACATTAGCCTAAAGTGGTAACCTATAGTGAAGATCACCTTCTCACTCCAGTAGATTTGAGTTTCCAAAGGCAACAAACGACACCCAACTTTCTGATGTTATTAACACCCTCATTGTCAAAACCAAAGATTGGGAGAACAAGGGAGAACAACATTTTCATTCTGAGAGACGAATAGAATACAATTTTTCTATCCTCCTGTGTGAGAATCCATAAATTTTCTCATATACTCACCAGGTCCATTACTTTGTCAAACAAGAACAACAGAAAACTCATTTCATACTATAAACCCCTCAAACATAAAAATCCAGAACCAGAGCCAAACACGGGACACTCCGCAGTAGTACCAATTCAACTACTCATCTCAGGTTAATACTGCTAGAAGTAAAAGGGCTGGAAATCCACTCATATAGGTTTCCAGGAGGACAGGGGTGGAGTATCGGCGTGTCTCCATGTAAGGACCATGTACTTGTTCCTTTCGCCCTTAATTGCATTAGAAATGGACTCAAGCGCAGCCATTTCCTCTGGTGTTAGCTTCACGCTTAAAGCTTTGATATTGTTGTTGAGGTTTTCCAACTTGGTTGTTCCTGGAATCGGACAAACATCATCTCCTTGATGATGAACCCATGCCAATGCTAGCTGAGATGGTGTACACCCCTTCCTCAAGGCCATTTCATTGACCTGCTCAAAGGTTTCCAGATTGTTCTCAACATTCTCTGGCTGAAATCTGGGGAGGCTCTGTTTATCAATGTAGAACAGTAAGTCCAGACATTCCAATTTGAACCAAAAAATTCAAAAATTTAAAAAAAAAAAAGAAAAGAAAAAGAAAGTCATGCTCTATTATAAGCAGTAACCTTTCGGTAGTCATTATCAACCAGGTTCTGCACCAAATTTCTACCAGACGCCAAGAATCCCCTTCCTAAGGGACTAAAAGCAACAATGCCAATTCCAAGCTCCCTGCAAGAAAGAGTAATATGTTGAGAACAGTCTGCTAATTATGATTACCGAAAAAAATCAACGTGTTACCTGCAAGTGGGAATAACAGTGTCTTCTGCATCTCGTGTCCACAAAGACCACTCCAGTTGAACTGCTGTTATTGGATGAACTGCATGAGCCCTTCTAATGGTATCAGGTGAGGCCTCTGAGAGCCCTATGTATCTTATTTTTCCCTCTTCAACCAGCTTCTTCAGTTCTCCCATCTAACAAATATTGGAGACTTGAGAAAAAGATATCAAATGCTTAAAGCAGGAAGAAAATGGTATTGTCTATGCTATCCATTTTATCAACCGATGAATGAACCAGTTTAACTAGAAATGAAACATCTTGGAATTTCAGGGAAGAAGACTAACCGTGACTTCTATAGGCACACGAGTGTCAATACGATGAACGTAATAGAGATCAATGTAATCAACATCCAGACGCCTCAGACTAGCTTCACATGCTGCTCTAACATATGCTGGTTCACCACAGATACCTCCCATGCTTCCATCTTCTAGTACTCTTATCGCGAACTTGGTAGCTAACTGCACTTTCTCCCTATATCCTCCCTTCAAAGCCTTCAAAGAAACGCCTCAAAACCATTACATGCCGCCTAAGAAGCATCTCCCCCATAGATAAAAGCTCTTAGAGTTTCATTTGGTTCGCTACTAAAGTAAAAAATAAGGATTTATTATGTACCTTGCCTATGAGAACTTCGTTGGTGTGAGGACCATAGAAGTCGGAAGTGTCAAGATGGGTGACACCACTATCTATGGCATGATGTATGAGTGGGATCATTTCAGCCTCTGGCTTAGGAATGCCATAGAGAGCAGACATGCCCATGCATCCGAGTCCTTGTGCAGAGACTTCAAAGCCTTGGGAGCCCAGCTTGATCCTCCTCACTGCAGTTGCCATTTCTGCAATTTACTCGGCTTCCTTCCTTAAACAAGTTACAGCTAAAAAGAGTTCCTTTATGTTTCTGTTATTTTTTTTTCCCCTCCGACGCATGAATTTATGGCAGCATTTGGTTCTTAGTCTATGCAATGCACGCAGACACAGAAGAGAATTTGTACAAGTTTCTGATTTTTTTTTTCATTTTTTATTTTTTTGGTCCGACTTCTTTTCTTTTTTAACCAGAGAAAGAAATAGGACTTGAAATAAACAGGTAAGCTGGTCAAACTTGTATTCCCCCAATGTTTTGAAAATCGGACCGGATCGGCCGGTTCGACCGGTTGAACCGCGAACCGGCCATGGCACCGGTCTGGTTCAATGTTACAATTGATTTTGTCAGAAAACCAGTCAAGAACCGGTCGAACCGTAAAAATCGCGGTCAAACCACTATTGAACCGGTTTTCAACATTTCTCTTTTTTTTTTTTTTTTTTTTTTGGTAAAATGCAGCTATTAAGATTTGAACTCAAGACCTTTGTAATAGAAGACCAATGTATTAACCGTTGCACCATCATATCCTATTAGTTTTTTTTTATAACTTATTTATATAAAACAAACACTCATATTTTTTTTTCATTTTTCTTACAAAATCTCATTCTCTCATGGCTCTTTCTTTTTAATTTTCAACTCTCTCTCTCTCTCTCTCTCTCTCTCTATCCTGTCTTTTTTTTGTCACTCCCTTTTTAATCAAACCTCTTTATTTTAAATTTATTGATGTTTT